TGGGCTCGTAGTCACTATATGCTTGTAGTAGCACATCCATTTCTGTCGGGGAAAAACGCAGACCTATTTTGGCTTGGTCCTGTTGCCATGGTGACTCGTAATTTCTTCACTCCCTTGTTCAGGGCTTTTTATAGTCGCGTGGCACGCGCCTAACTCTGAGTCAAACAACTCAGAGTTGATTAAACCAACTCTTTTCAGCTGTTCTGAAACCGAAAACTCCGAGTTTTCCAACTCTGAGTAAGTCAACTCAGAGTTCAGGTTTGAACTCTGAGTTTGTTAAACCTCCTTCTTGAAATAGGCCTCAGGTCATCGAAAAGCTCCCACCAATATTTATTTATTTATATGTGGAAGGTCGTAAATTAAAAGAGTGGGGCCTGGAGAGCAAGACAGAGGAAGACGCGTAAACCAACACATCCACACACAAAGAACAAGTGTGAGAAGGTGTTAGAAGTGGACAGGGGATTCCTTACAGCAAGCCTCTGTCTCCAAGTCACTGAGGGCTGCGCCTGAGGACGGCTGCTCTGAGGACTCCACTATGTCGGCTGTCGGAGCAACGCTGCTCCCAGCAGGCGCCGTGTCGCCATCTTTCACTCCTGCCGGTTCAGAAGGGCTCTGGTCAACCTCCAGGACGGTGGGAGAGGGAGGGGTGCCCAACTCATCTGTTGTCAGAGAGGCAGAAAACAACCAGCGCACTCTGTTCAATGGATCACTATAATACTGTACATGGCAATGAGCTGAAACTATAGAGCCAAAGGGAGCTGATGATTCACATCCTAATTCTCTGTAGGTTTAACTTTTATACTGTCACACCATGTGCTGACATTGTCATTTGATATGTTATAAATGGTGCTTTTATAATAAACACTTCAACATTAGCATACTGTCACTGGCAGTGTGTTAGAAGCTCATGTTGGAGCTGCTAGCACAGCTGGTGACTGGTTGTTTTTACCTTGGGATGGAGCAGCAGGTGTATCCTCATCCATCGTCTCAGCGGCTTCACTGCCCTCAGATGGGGCTGGGACACACGTAGCAGAGGGGGCAGCATCAGGAGCCTCAGACAGGGTGTGGTCAGATGGCGGGGCAGCAGGCGAGTCCGTGGGGATGGACTCTGGTTCTGACACTGCCGCAGTTTGCTGGGCTTCAGCCTTTTCTGGAGGAGAGGATGCATCTGTGGCTGATCATGGAAGACAGAGAGAGAGGGAGTGAAGAGGCAGCAAGGAAGAAGAAAGAGACCAGACGATGCAAAACAAGCTGAGCAGGGAACACACAAGACGAGACAGAGAAGCAGCAAACATCTTTTAAAACAGCATCTCCGTTCTCCAACCATTTCCATCCAGAGGTTGAGACAAATACAGGAGCACTGTTTGCTAGTTGGCTCCTCTGTCCATGTATTAAAGTTTGCTTCTGTTCTGAAAAGGCCAGTTTGATATGACATTTACATACATTGCTAGTTTTTGGTGTCCTTTTTTTGTTAGCTCTGGCAGTTTACTTAGTTTTGTAGTGTTTTAAGGTATTTCACTGGCACCAACTGTCTAACTTCTTAATCACACTCCTCAAATGCTGTTTGAGAACAGGGCAGTGAAATGTACTGAACTGTTAATATTGCTTTAATGTGTACAATCCAATTTAGTGCAGACGTTAACTAAATGTCACCAGCAAGATAAGTTCATCCTAATACTGCTGTGAAATGAAATAGAACTAGAGCAGTACAACACCACACACAGCATCCTCAACTCACAGAAGTACAGATACTGAAGATGTTATTATTTCATATTATGGATCCAGAGACAGATAAGTGTCCTACTTGTGTCCTCGTCTTTCTGTGGTCCAGCAGGTTCAGCGGAGCTGGCAGGCTGGCTCGATGTCTCCTCCCCTAGCTCCGTCTTCTGGGAGGGGCTGGGGGGCTGGGCTCGGGGCTGGGGGGTTTTAGTGGGCTCACCCTTCCCATGGTGCTCCGGGGCGACTGCATCTCCATCTCCTCCCCCCAGTCTGACACAGGTTGGTGGCCATCCAGCGGGGAGAAGGGGCTGACGGGTTTGCCTCCCTCTGGTGACTCCTGAGCTGCTGCAGGGGGGGGTATGTGGACCTTTGGCCTGGGAGTCCGCTGCTCTTTGGGGCTTCCTGCCGATGATGGACGAGAGCGAGGCATGGGAGATGTAGGGGAGGCGTCTTTGCTCTTGGGTGGTTTCTCTTTCTCAACGTCTTCCTTCTCACTGGCCCTGGAGTCTGGTTCTGGTTCGCCCCCTTCCTCCACTGCTTCCTCGTCACCTTCTCCATCACTGGCATCCTCCCATTCATCATCATCATCCCCTCCACCTTCATTCTTCTCCTCCACCTGAAAAAATAATGGAAAATAATTTAAACTTGCAATAGCGGATTTTTGGCCACATAACAGAAACAAGCTGGTGATAAGATAAACCTGTTGGCAAACAGTCACATGCAGAAGGTGGCAAAAGCAAAAATCTGGCCTCCTCCAGGATGACAGTGCCCCCCCCCCCCGTCCACAAGGGGTCACTGTTGGGGACAGCCCAGAGTTGTGGACAGCTCAAATGCAGAAATGCTGTGACAGAGTTTAGCGACAGCTGGTGAGAGCCAATCAGGATTATCCTGATCCCAGCGGAAAAGGAAGCCAGGAGTTTTCTACCTCAAAGGAGATGAAGCAGGAAAACAGCAACTTGCTAACTCGACTTTCTGCCGTTTGCTGCTGGCAGGTAGACTACAACTGACTTTTATTGTGTTTTTCTATAAAGTTTAACCCTATCAGAGTAAAGAAAATGAACCAAAACAGTCAAGTCACAAAGTAGGAAAACCAAAACAATGCACTGAAAGACAGTGGGTTGCTCCACAGAGCTGAAGAGAACTGTATGACTGACGCCGATCCTCTGTGGGATTGTCCAGCAACCTGTTTCACATGAAAGCAGTCATGGGGTCTGCTGTTATTACACCAACTGCTGTGGTTGTCAAACACTGGTTGCATTCTCTGTTTCTGTCTGTGCTCTACATGACTTAACTGTTGGCAGCCAAACATATCTTTTTAAGTTTTCCCTTCATCAAATTTCAGCAAGATCGTTTTACAATTAAAGAAAAATATTCCGAACATGAGCAGGTCCCGTTTAGGTTCCTGCCACCACCAGACAGTACACTAATGATCATCTGCTCTGCATCATGAACCCAGATAACGGCCCTCTACCTTCTGTGCTGCAGGAGGTTTGGCTTTTTCCTCCTTCTTCTTAGTCTTCTCCTCTGTCTTTGTCTTGTCCTCCTTCTCCTGCTCTTCTTTCTCTCCTTCCCAGCGGTTGTCATGCATGCTGTCAAAGGCATCCAGATACATCAACATCAGAAGAAGGAAACAACAAACTAACATTACACAAAAATATATTTGTCAGAATCAAGAAAGAGCACACTGCTGAAACAATAAGAAAATATTCTGCAATGTTAACGGCAACATCTGTGACCATGAAGACGTGTCTCAGTAGGTGAAAACCAAACTGGTCTCCTTGTAGATGTCCAGCATCTTCACTGGTATAAAATGAATCAACAACAATAACAATGGTTGATCATTTTGGGCAATTTATCAAATTCAAGCACTCAACATTTAAATTAATAATCTAACCCTTAATGGGTCTCCCAGTTTAATACTGGTTAAATACCAGTCACCTATTACACCTGTATCGTCTCCTATACGTTGGCTGGCCAACTTTAAAATAACCAAAGCAAACAGCAGCTGTACATTATTAGATGAACATGGACTGAGAAACTTTAAGTGCATGGCAGCAGCTGAGATTTACCTGTAGCTCTGTTTCTGTCCTCTGCCCCGCTCCCCTCGGGGCCCCTGGGACAGGAAGTCGCCAAATGTCGGCGTTTTAGGAGGCCGCTTACTGTCGTCTGGAGGAGATATCGATGGTGAGTGTAAATCAAGTTGTTCTGTCACATTGTTCTAAAGGCAGAGTGAATCAGAGAGGACAGGGACTGAAAGCAAAGGAATAATGTCTAAACCTGGGTGTGACATGGAGGAGGAGTTGTAAAGGCATGAATCAACATTCATGATCCAGATGGGGAAAAGGGTCTGTCAGTAGTACGGAAACACAACATCAACATATAACTACCATTTTAAAATAGGACATACTTTACTCAAACAGTTTGAGCCAACAGCTTTTCTCTCACCACGTGCTCTAAAGCTGATTCTCTAGGATCATCAATGTCGACCTAACCTTGGATACAGTTACAGAAAAACGCCATCTACATAAAACCAAATTCAAGATCAACTTAAAACAGAAACTTTGCATTAAAGCTACTCTACCTCATTTCTTTATCAGTCTAGAGGGTCTTTACCTTTTGCCCGTCCCACTACCTCCTGCTTCCTAGTGACGTGAACTACGGATGTCTGCTTGGGACAAACTGTACAAACTGCAGCCTCCAGTCTGAAGGTAGCATTAGCTGGCTAACAGTAAACGTGTCAGTGCAGTAGAAGCTCTGGTTACCAACACAAACACTGACGTTACACAAAGCTCCCAAATTAAAATCATATTAATTCAACACAACGGTAAAACCATCACCATGCTAGGTGGCTAATGCTACCAAAACAAACAGGTTAGCTTTAGATGCTAACACATCCAGAAGGACTGCTGCTGTACCAGTAGCCACCCACAGAGTCCATCTGAACTCTGGGACAAGGTCAAACATCTATTATCTGACACCTGGGTGACCGATACCGTGTGAAATATCTACATCTATAAAAGTCCATTTTAGCATAATTTATTGTTGAGATCATGATTTCTTTTTCAAGTGGAATGCAGCAGGTATTCTACCAGGCGTTTCTATTATTT